ATAATAATTCCTTACATTTATTATAGCGCTTTTCCAGATGCTCAAAGCGCTTTACAAATACACATTACACATATTGTTTAATAAGCCCAAACATTAGCATGCTGTGCCAAATGTCCCAGAATCCCCTGCTCACTGCACTTAGCCAACTAGCATCCACATTTCCAAAACAAATAGAGCGCCTTTTCATTAGTCATTACGTTTCATGCTCCACAAACTGAACGGTACGAGGTAACACACACACACACACACACACACACACACACACCACACACACACACACACACACACACACACACACACACACACACACACACCACACACACACACACACACAACACACACACACACACACACACACACACACACACACACACACACACACACACACACACACACACACACACACACACACACACACACACACACACACACACACACACACACACACACACACACACACACACGAAGGATTAAGAGTTGGATAATAAAGATAAGAGCAGATTTTCCACTGCGAGCAGAAAGGCACATAAGCTCCATTTATCCCAGTGAAATTCCACCATTCACACACGGTGAAAAACAAACCAATACATCTCATGCTCTCCTTTATAACTCTGAGCATGCTGCTGCTGTCAGGAAGCTACACAGGTTTTGTTCTAACATAAAATACCTCAGTACATACCCCACTCGTGGATTTAAAAACAGACGTCATCACGCCCAACATTAGCCGCCTTTAGTTTAGCGGTGGTGACGTGAAGTCATGTGACCGTGCTGTAGTTCCTTTATAGCCCAATATTAGCCACCTTTAGCTTAGCGGTGGTGACGTGAAGTCATGTGACCGGGCTGTAGTTCCTTTATAGCCCAACATTAGCCACCTTTAGCTTAGCAGTGGTGACGTGAAGTCATGTGACCGTGCTGTAGTTCCTTTATAGCCCAACATTAGCCTCCTTTAGCTTAGCGGTGGTGACGTGAAGTCATGTGACCGTGCTGTAGTTCCTCTATAGCTCAGCATTAGCCTCCTTTAGCTTAGCGGTGGTGACGTGAAGTCATGTGACCGTGCTGTAGTTCCTTTATAGCCCAACATTAGCCTCCTTTAGCTTAGCGGTGGTGACGTGAAGTCATGTGACCGTGCTGTAGTTCCTTTATAGCCCAACATTAGCCTCCTTTAGCTTAGCGGTGGTGACGTGAAGTCATGTGACCGTGCTGTAGTTCCTTTATAGCCCAACATTAGCCTCTTTTAGCTTAGCGGTGGTGACGTGAAGTCATGTGACCGTGCTGTAGTTCCTCTATAGCCCAGCATTAGCCTCCTTTAGCTTAGCGGTGGTGACGTGAAGTCATGTGACCGTGCTGTAGTTCCTTTATAGCCCAACATTAGCCGCCTTTAGCTTAGCGGTGGTGACATGAAGTTATGTGACTGTGCTGTAGTTCCTTTATAGCCCAACATTAGCCTCCTTTAGCTTAGTGGTGGTGACGTGAAGTCATGTGACCGTGCTGTAGTTCCTTTATAGCCCAACATTAGCCGCCTTTAGCTTAGCGGTGGTGACATGAAGTCATGTGACCGTGCTGTAGTTCCTTTATAGCCCAACATTAGCCACCTTTAGCTTAGCGGTGGTGACGTGAAGTCATGTGACCGTGCTGTAGTTCCTTTATAGCCCAACATTAGCCACCTTTAGCTTAGCGGTGGTGACGTGAAGTCATGTGACCGTGCTGTAGTTCCTTTATAGCCCAACATTAGCCACCTTTAGCTTAGCGGTGGTGACGTGAAGTCATGTGACCGTGCTGTAGTTCCTTTAAAGCCCAACATTAGCTTTTTATTTCAGAAATCATAAAGTGGTGTTAATATGTGGAGATTATAAATGTTTGTTTGACACAGAGATTATTTTCTGACATATCCAAAATCACACAGAGGAATCCCATTGGATCAGAGAGATGATGCCTTCAGGGACCAACACAGAAACACCACAGGAACCTGGCTGCTAACTGCTAACTGCTAACTGCTAGCTGCTAGCTGCTAACATTAACTCTCCTGAAGAATTCAAAAACATTCAGGAAGCATCAAGGCTGATGGGAAATGTAAAGAGTGCTGAGTAATAATCTGACAGTGATGGTTCCAGTGATACAAACAGACGCTTTAAAATAGAAATGTGTGTGTGTGTGTGTGTGTGTGTCTGTGTGTCTGTGTGTGTGTGTGGGAACCAGTGATCTGCAGCTCCTTATTGGGACAAAAGGAAAGAAGCTGCAGCTGCATATTTTGGAAACTCACTCTCGGAGGTCGGAGCCTTCGTCTTCTTTTTATCGGAGATGGAGTTTTCTGTCGGATCTGCAGGAGGACAGAGAGAGAGTTTGATGATCAGAGAACACTCTTGTTTCAGAAGATCAGAACTACAATAACCAAAGTATGATTCATTAAACACATGAAACTATAATCTCATGTCTGAAAAAGAGTTGGAAGATTACTGATTAGATCCATAAGGCAGCGGTAAACCAACTCATGGATACACAACTGGTACAAAACACTGCAAAGAGAGGGAGAGAAACTACCATAGAAATAGATCCAAATATCACACAAATATAAAACATAGATATCAACAACAACAGACATTTAATAAGACCTCAGAGTCGCAAAAGGTCAAACCAAGCAGCAACATAGATCCAAAGCAACACTAAAATAAGCAAAATATAAAATATAGATATATATAAATCATAACAAATACAAAACTACTGCAAAAGGTTTCATACAATTAAAAAATGAATGTTAACAAATATATAAAACTATATAAAATATTAAATAAATATATAATATATATAAAAGTAGCAAAATAGATCTTAAAGCATCAACATTTTGCAAAACCAACACTAAAATATGAAAAATAGTTTCATAAATGTATAAATAACAAAATGTGCAAAAAGACGTCAGACGCTCCAGAAAAGATGCAAACTAAAAGAGATGCCGGATCGACAAATTAAAAACCACCAATAGTTCCACAACAGAGGCAAAGTACATCTTGAACCAATTCTCAGAACTGTAATAGATATATATATATATAGATATATAGATGTATATAGATATATATAGATATATATAGATATAGATATATATAGATGTATATAGATGTATATAGATATATATAGATATATATAGATATATATAGATGTATATAGATATATATAGATATATATAGATGTATATAGATATATATAGATGTATATAGATATATATAGATGTATATAGATATATATAGATATAGATATATATAGATATATATAGATGTATATAGATATATATAGATATAGATATATATAGATATAGATATATATAGATATATATAGATATATATAGATGTATATAGATGTATATAGATATATATAGATATATATAGATGTATATAGATATATATAGATATAGATATATATAGATATATATAGATATAGATAGATATATATAGATATATATAGATGTATATAGATGTATATAGATATATATAGATATATATAGATATATATAGATGTATATAGATGTATATAGATATATATAGATATATATAGATGTATAAAACCACAAAACATTCGCAAAACTGCCACCAAAATCTGCAAAATGGCATAAAATAAATGCAAAAACACAAAACATCTAAAAGACAGACAAACGTACAAAACATGCAAATCAGCCACAAAAAGTTGCATTACAATAAAAAATGCATTTAAATAAGATCGAAAACTGCCAAAAAAACAGATCTAAAAACACCACGAATCAATACAAAGAATCCATGCGTTTGTCTTCAGACCGTTTGTCTCCTTAACAGATATGAAACGTCTCCAGAAAGCTCCTCTCAGACTCTTTGATTCACAGTCTGATTTAATTGAATTACAGGAAACAGACGCAGAAACCGGGGCGAGCTTTTTCTCGTTTACTGGAAATCTGAGGAGTTATTTCTCAGTTATTAAAAGGCTAACATGTTTAGATTGACGGTGAAAGTTTAACGGTGATGATGAAGTTTAGATGGAGTTTGATTCAACATTTATTTTTGTACGTTTCTGCCATCGTGACAAAGACTCCTCTCTAAAGATGCAGATGTCCCAGCAGCTTCTACTGAAGCCTTCCGAGTAAATCTCCAGAACGCCGACACCTCCTCATCTCCACCGCTCCAATGTTTTCTTTTGTGTTGCCATAAGTTAGTCTCTCTGCGCTGGTGCGCTGGGCTAATGCTAATGCTAATAATGCTAATGCCAGCAAATAAAATGGCGGCTTCACAAAACTTTTCTGAGTTTTACGGGCGTGGTTTGCAATCCGCCCAGCCAATAGGAATGGGAACCTTTTTCTCCCACGAAAGTACCTGCTCTCTAGCAGGGACTGAAAGGAAGTGGGAAGGTTCTCATGAACTAAGTTCTAGTTCCGAATTTTTTAGCTTTTTAAACTTTTTTTTCTGAACTATATCGGAACTATACTGGGAAAAGTACTCTGGTGTGAAAGCACCGAATGATGACAGTGAAGAATAATCTAAAATGGAAATTCATATTTAATTAATAATATCCAAACTGACCGATACAGAGAAGTATTAGGGCCACATGTGAAGTTTGAAATGTGTGATGTCTTTCTGATCAGCTGAATGGAGCAGTTATTAAATAATATATAATATATAATGATAGGTCTTACCGTCCACCAGCACCATGCAGCAGCTCTCAGATTTCCCCGCTGAGTTCTCCGCTCTGCATTTATATTCTCCTTCATCCTCAGGAAGAGCTTTCCCTATAGTCAGGGAGCACAGGCCGCCTGCACAACAACAACAACAACAACACTATTATTAAAAATGTATATTAACATTGTTATTAGTATTTTTTGTTTGTTTTATTTAGATATTATTATGATGTATTATATCTTGTTTTTTTAAATTACAATTATTATTATTGTTTTAATTATTTATACATCTTATGATGTTACGCCAAAAAATGTTGTTAAAAATATACAATTAAAAAATATATGTATTTTATTAAAATGTGCGAACATTTAAAAAAATACGTTTATTTAAAAATAAAATCAGTAAAAATTCTTACAGCAATTTATTTATTTCACTTTAGTTTTCCACAACTTTTCTTTAATAATATTAACAAAAAATAACAAACTGAAAATATATTATGTGTGTGTGTGTTTGTTTAGGGGTGTTGTGGGGACCTGTGATTGATCATGCAGTACGCGACCTTGAAGATGTTTACCCTTTCTTATTCCTGCATTTCCCATGATCCTTTTCATTATATCATCCATTATTTTATTAATTGATTTGTTAATTAAATTGTGATTCATTATATTGTAAAAGATATTCAGCTTATTGATGAAACAGGGAAATCGAGGCTGTTTTATTTTTGAAATATTGATTATTAAATTAGGTACAGAATAATTTAGATTCTGCCTTCAGGGGTCCTGGTTAATAACAAGGTTAGAGTCACTGCAGGAAGTCTTTAACCTGTTAAGCCCGAGAGACCCCGGTACCGGGGCCCTCCCACAACATCTTGCAGGAAACAGTGTCTGAGGGCATCCTAACATTTAATAAACTATGAATGCTTTATATGTAACGGGAAGAAACTCATCAAACTGATCTTTTTTTTTCATTTGAATTAGCAACGAGCGAAAAATGCTAACAGATTACTGCACCGAAACTCACTCATAAAACCTTATTATGTATTCTTTCTGCACATCCAACCCATCGATCTGATCGTGAGATGACACATAATCATACAATACAAAAATAAAATACATTATCACTATATGATAAGAACTTGCGACATTATAAACAAAAACAGACATCAAAACATGTGGTGCTAGGTAGCTAAAAACGCTAACATGGCTCACCTGTGTGGTAGTCTGGTCAAAAGTGGTATTCAATGGCATTAAAACGATAAAAACGCTGCTGAAGTTAATCCATAGGTTAATCCAATGTGTCTGTGTCACTTTGAATGATTTCTGATAATCCATGAGCAATAAACCTGCTTTTCCGTTTCCAGATGTCAGAGCGAGAGATAGGTTCACTCTGATGCAAACCTGCACGCGCAAAGCCCCCACCTTTTTTTTTTATCATGTGTGTGTGTGTGTGGGGAAATTCACCTTTGACTCTATTGGCTCTAACGGTCAAACAGAGATGTCAATCACTAAAATCGACCAATGGGTTCCAGAGAAACGGTAAAACCCCCATTTCCACCCAAATCACCTCAGAGGGGGAGTTTTCTTTGCTAAGCCTCTCTAAAAAGGTCAAATATCACTTGTTTTGCACCAACCTTGATACAGGGTACTTATTATATGTTGTACTTTGGATACCTAAAGCTTTTAGTCTATCTTACCATCATCCAAGGGTAGTTTTCACTATAAGTACAAAATATATTTTGGACGGACACTATAATTTGCAATTTTTTACCATGTTCAATCTGAATTTACTTTAAAATAAAAAACATCTATATTGATTCTGACTCTTCTACATCCAACTCACAGGTTTATCATTACTTTGAGAAAAAAGATGATTCATTTAACCCTTTTAGAAGGGAAGATATGGTCATTTGTTCTGGGAATGTCATTTTCGAGCCTGAGACCTGGAAAACAGGCTCGGGGGGGGCTTAACAGGTTAAGTGCAAATGTATACCGATGATGCGTTCATCTTTGTACACGGGAAAAACACTGACATTATCTCATCCTGTCTCTCAAATGCTTTGCACAAGGTTCAACACTGGCTGAACAACATTTGCTTACAGTTAAATGCAAAAAAAAACAGTATGCATGATGTTCAGTAAACGACCAGTCAAAATCGAAGGATCCAATGTGTTTTTAAACGGAGCAGAAATAGAACTAGTCCCCCACTTCAAGTATCTTGGAGTCATTCTGGACTCAAACTTGACTTTTAAGAAACATATTAAGAAAGTATCCAATACCGTTAAATTCAACTTGCAACATTTTAAACAAATGAAACCTTTCTTAACTGTCAATCCTGCAAAGTCATACCTCATACTGTATGATCCTATCCCACATTGAATACTGTTTGACAAACTGGTCGTTTGCTTGAGCCACAAACCTGAAACCCAGAGAACAGCTGTTCAAGAGAGCTACCAAGGTGTTTGACAGAAAGCCACATTCACACCACCACTGTACCATCCTTGATGAACACCATTTCTTGAGTTTTGACCATTTTAAGTCTTTTAAAAGTATGAGCTTTATTTATAAATGTTTACATGGACTGCCCCCCCCCCCCCCCTTAGGGGAATTCATCCACATAAAACACACTGGACGCTGCACTAGGTCAGAAACCAGAGGAGACTGAGGTCCACCGCAGACGGACCACTTTTGGACAAAATGTCCTCTCCGTTAAAGACAGCTCTTTCTGGAACAGCCTCCCGACTGAGTTACGGGATTGTCCCACTTTCAATAGCTATCTCCTCTTGCCCTTTAACAGAGGGGTATCTCCTCTTGCCCTTTAACACAGGGGTATCTCCTCTTGCCCTTTAACACAGGGGTATCTCCTCTTGCCCTTTAACACAGGGGTATCTCCTCTTGCCCTTTAACTCAGGGGTATCTCCTCTCCTTTAACTCAGGGGTATCTCCTCTTGCCCTTTAACTCAGGGGTATCTCCTCTCCTTTAACTCAGGGGTATCTCCTCTTGCCCTTTAACTCAGGGGTATCTCCTCTCCTTTAACTCAGGGGTATCTCCTCTCCTTTAACTCAGGGGTATATCTTCTTGCCCTTTAACTCAGGGGCATCTCCTCTCCTTTAACTCAGGGGTATATCTTCTTGCCCTTTAACTCAGGGGCATCTCCTCTCCTTTAACTCAGGGGTATCTCCTCTTGCCCTTTAACTCAGGGGTATCTCCTCTCCTTTAACACAGGGGTATCTCCTCTCCTTTAACTCAGGGGTATCTCCTCTCCTTTGACACAGGGGTATCTCCTCTCCTTTAACACAGGGGTATCTCCTCTCCTTTAACTCAGGGGTATCTCCTCTCCTTTGACACAGGGGTATCTCCTCTTGCCCTTTAACACAGGGGTATCTCCTCTCCTTTGACACAGGGGTATCTCCTCTTGCCCTTTAACTCAGGGGTATCTCCTCTCCTTTAACTCAGGGGTATCTCCTCTTGCCCTTTAACACAGGGGTCTCTCCTCTCCTTTAACTCAGGGGTATCTCCTGCCCTTTAACTCAGGGGTATCTCCTCTCCTTTAACACAGGGGTATCTCCTCTTGCCCTTTAACACAGGGGTATCTCCTCTTGCCCTTTAACTCAGGGGTATCTCCTCTTGCCCTTTAACTCAGGGGTATCTCCTCTCCTTTAACACAGGGGTATCTCCTCTTCTTTAACTCAGGGGTATCTCCTCTTGCCCTTTAACTCAGGGGTATCTCCTCTTGCCCTTTAACTCAGGGGTATCTCCTCTTCTTTAACACAGGGGTATCTCCTCTTGCCCTTTAACTCAGGGGTATCTCCTCTTGCCCTTTAACTCAGGGGTATCTCCTATTGCACTTTAACTCAGGGGTATCTCCTCTTGCCCTTTAACACAGGGGTATCTCCTCTCCGTTGACTCAGGGGTATCTCCTCTCCTTTAACACAGGGGTATCTCCTCTTCTTTAACACAGGGGTATCTCCTCTTGCCCTTTAACTCAGGGGTATCTCCTCTTGCCCTTTAACTCAGGGGTATCTCCTATTGCACTTTAACTCAGGGGTATCTCCTCTCCGTTGACTCAGGGGTATCTCCTCTCCTTTAACTCAGGGGTATCTCCTCTCCGTTGACTCAGGGGTATCTCCTCTCCTTTAACTCAGGGGTATCTCCTCTCCGTTGACTCAGGGGTATCTCCTCTTGCCCTTTAACTCAGGGGTATCTCCTCTCCGTTGACTCAGGGGTATCTCCTCTTCTTTAACACAGGGGTATATTTTTAAGCCAATAATAATTCAGTTTGTTTGTTGACGCAAAACGTAATAACTTGAAGGATTAATAAAGTAAAATAATATATAAAGAAAAACAAAATAAAGAATTATATTTGTTGTTAATCCGTTTGTTTAATGTCAGTAGCCTGTTCATCATGTTTCATCCTATAAACCTGTTAAGAATATATTAAAACTCACAATAATGTAGTTATTATATATATTGTACAATAATAAACACTAACAACATTAAGACTGAGTTACAAACCATTTCGTTGTTGTCACTCGTTTGTTTTAATAAACCCATAGTACAGTGTTTACCATCAAATTAAAGAAGCTTACTATAAATACACCTGTCTCTTTAACGGATGAGAATTAAAAATAAATACAAGGTCCTCACACTGCGTGGTCCTCACATGGGCAGTAAGACGAACCCCTGTGTGTGTGTCCCATGTAAAGTGATCTGTTCACATGAATCCCAACAATAGCATCACATCCTGTTGTTTCAGAGCTCTATTAATAGATTCAACAGTTGCTCTAAGTCCTCCATCTTTTCTCTCACACAACTTCATCCGGACACTTCGTCCACTTTCAATTTGGAAGGAAAATATAAAAATGGAGAATCAGATGGAAGTTTAACGGGAACGTCAGCCGAGGACGTTTAATAAGCTCCTCACGGGAAGTGAAGATGAAACTCAGATATTTAATTATTACGTGTGTATTCTCCTTTGTAAAAGATAACAACAATAACTCCTTTCTCACAATCTACCAAACTAAAATATCCAAAAAGCTTAAAATATTCAGACTAAAAAGCAGTGAAGACTTTCAAAATAAAGGTTTTATAACGAGGGAGTTAGAGTAAACGTTCACCTGAATCTCAGCAGGGTTTCTCCTCGTGCAAAGTGAAGATAACACAGAGATTATTATGTATATGCTGTAATGTAATACCTTGTTTCATATCAAAGATAACACCTATAACTTCGACCGACAATAATCTCCTAAAAGCTTCAAATATTCAAACTAAAAAGCTGTGAAGACTTTCAAAATAAAGGTTGAATTGTATGTATTATGTTATTGTTGTGCATGAATACAAATGGTAATAAAAAACGTTCATTTTAAAATAATTTGGTGGTTATTAGAGACTACCAACAAAAATATCCACAAAAGCTTCAAATATCCCATAATTTTTTTTTTAGGTGATGCTTTTATACGGAGTAGGCTTGAGTGTGGTCGTGACATCTGACCTTTTGAGTTTGATGCATAAAATAGAATGACTCTTGGAAACAGTGCGGTCGTGCAAAGTGAAGATAACACAGCTATTACATTATTACTTAGATGTTATGATTTCTCTTGTTCTATATAAAAGATGGACACCTATAGCACGATGCAGAGACTCTTGTCTCACAATCTACCAACAAAAATGTCCAATGCATAAATTAGAAATGGCTTTTGGAAACAGTGCCGACATGCATCCGATAACACAACTTTATTCTCATAATCTACCAACAAAAATATCCTAAAAGCTTCAAATATCCCCCCAAAAAAAGTTAAATGGACTTTTTGAGCTGGAGGTTTTAAATGGAGTAGGCTTGAGTGCGGTCGTGACCTCTGACCTTCGTTGGCGAGCACGATGAACTTGGAGGGTTTGATGGTCTTCCCGTCCAGCGTCCAGGTGACAGACGGAGGATCCGAGGCGTTCAGACGGCACTGCAGACGGAGGATCTGTCCGTCGATCACCGTCACGTCACAAAGCTTCTCCAAGAACTCAGGAGCCATCTTCCCCCCCGCCTTCTTCTCCTTCAGACCCTCGTCCACACAGTTGTTCTCCGCCATCTTCTCCCCGTTCTTCTCGGGGCTCGTCTTCTTGATGCCTTCTTCCACCTTTCAGAGATGGATAGATGGATAGATAGATGGATATAAATAGATAGATAGATAGATGGATAGATGGATAGATAGATAGATAGATGGATAGATAGATGGATAGATAGATAGATAGATAGATGGATAGATGGATAGATGGATAGATAGATAGATGGATAGATAGATAGATAGATAGATGGATAGATAGATAGATAGATGGATAGATGGATAGATGGATAGATAGATAGATGGATAGATGGATAGATAGATAGATAGATAGATGGATAGATAGATAGATAGATGGATAGATAGATAGATAGAGAGATAGATGGATAGATAGATAGATAGATAGATAGATGGATAGATGGATATATAGATAGATGGATAGATAGAGAGAGAGATATATGGATAGATAGATAGAGATAGATAGATAGAGAGAGAGAGAGATAGAGAGAAAGGGTAACATTACAATTTAGTGTTATTAAAATTGTGAAGGCTAAACATGTGACATGAGTTAAGATGAGCACGAAAGAGGTACCATTAGCGTTGATAAAATAAGGTATGCTAACAAAATGTGAGTTAGCATAATTAGCATAAGTTATTAGGGGAATAAATAAAGCACACATTCATTTAACAGAGGTCAGCTGAGAATGAATAAAGTAACGTTAGCATTCGAGAAGTTTAGCATAAAGAGAAGCTAAATGTTAGCATTATAAAAGGAGCTAAGTGTTAGCATGATAAAAGAAGCTTAATGTTAGCATTATAAAAGAAGCGTAATGTTAGCATTATAAAAGGAGCTAAGTGTTAGCATTATTAAAGTAGCTAAATGTTAGCATTTAAAAAATAACTAAATGTTAGCATTATAAAAGTAGCTGAATCTTAGCATTATAAAAGAAGCTGAATCTTAGCATTATAAAAATAACTTAATGTTAGCATTATAAAAATAACTTAATGTTAGCATTATAAAAGTAGCATAATGTTAGCATTATAAAAGAAGCTGAATCTTAGCATTATAAAAATAACTTAATGTTAGCATTATAAAAATAACTTAATGTTAGCATTATAAAAATAACTTAATGTTAGCATTATAAAAGTAGCTTAATGTTAGCATTATAAAAGAAGCTGAATCTTAGCATTCTAAAAATAACTTAATGTTAGCATTATAAAAATAACTTAATGTTAGCATTATAAAAATAACTTAATGTTAGCATTATAAAAATAACCTAATTTTAGCATTATAAAAGTAGCTTAATCTTAGCATTATAAAAATAACCTAATGTTAGCATTATAAAAGTAGCTTAATGTTAGCATTATAAAAATAACCTAATGTTAGCATTATAAAAGTAGCTTAATGTTAGCATTATAAAAATAACCTAATGTTAGCATTATAAAAGTAGCTTAATGTTAGCATTATAAAAGTAGCTTAATGTTAGCATTATAAAAGTTTATAATAATAAACATCCGCACGTTTTTCTCGGCTGGTTTCGCTCCGCTCTTCTTCCCCAGCACGGCCCTGAAGTCGACCTGCGGCGCCGCGGCTTTCCGATCCTCCGCTTTCTTCACACCTTTCAGGTTAGCCTTGAAGTCCATGATGATGATGTTTTGGCGGCTGCGCTCTTCCTCCCTCACCTCCTCCTCTTCCTCTTCACGGTTGTTTTTGAGTGCTCCGTGTCCCAGAAACGAGCTGAAGTGCAGCTTCTGGTCCTCCTCCTCCTCCTCCTCTTTCTTCTTCTTCTTCTTCTTCTTCTGCAGGAGCGTCTTCTCCTCCTGCTGCAGGTTCTTCTTCTGCTGCTCGTTGGCCTCCTGCCGATTGACTCTGCTGCCCTGCTGCTCTCCTCCTCTCACTGTTCCTCCTCCTCTTCCTCCTCCTCTTCGTCCACTGGGCGAACGAGCACAGAGACAGATGGAGGGGAGAGAGAGTAAACAGAGCTGGGTTAAATCCCCTGCAGGGGGGGAGACCTCGACTCAAAATGTCCACGCTACATCACAAGTGACTCGACTGCCCTTATATGGGCATGCACCCAGATCGGCCTGAACACACACACACACACACACACACACACACACACACACACACACACACACACACACACACACACACACACACACACACACACACACACACACACACACACACACACACACACACACACACACACACACAGTCGTCCCGGTTGCTTAACGCTCCGTGTTCTTGTGGGTTTTATTTTTACACAGCAGTTGAAATATAATATACTCTTTGTTGCTTCCAACACACACACACACACACACACACACACACACACACACACACACACACACACACACACACACACACACACACACACACACACACACACACACACACACACACACACATATAGCACACACACACACTCACATATAGCACACACACACACACACACACACTCACATATAGCACACACACCCACTCACACACTCACATATAGCACACACACACACACACACACACACACACACACACACACCACACACACACACACACACACACACACACACACACACCACACACACACACACACACACACACACACACACACACACACACACACACCACACACACACACACACACACACACACACACACACACACACACACACACACACACACACACACACACACACACACAGTGTAAACAGAGGGAGAGGAAATGCTGGCTCTGATTGGTTTGGATGATATGGACGGATTAGAGAAGCTTTATTATGAGAATCGGAGGAAATAGGAACAGACAGAGAGACAGAGAGACAGACACACAGACAGACATACAGACAGACAGAGAGACAGACAGACACACAGACAGACAGACAGACAGACATACATACAGATAGACACACAGACAGACAGAGAGACAGACAGACACACAGACACACAGACACACAGACACACAGACAGACAGAGAGACAGACAGACAGACAGACAGACACACAGACAGACAGACAGAGAGACAGACACACACACACACAGACAGACACACAGACACACAGAGACAGACAAACGTTAGCATTATAACATATTGTTAGAGGGTTAGGATTCATCGGCTTTTTCCAATGCAAGGGGGGGGGGGCCCTTAGCGTACATTTTCAACTTTCCGGGATGTCCATCGGCTTCTATAGAGCTCCCTAAACGTATGTTGTAGACGACTTGAGATCGCGAGCGAATGCTACCCACAGATCCATTCTCACAGCGTTTATCAACCTTTTTCTTACTCAATATCAAGCCACACTTATTGTTTTTACTTCTTTATTTTAATTGAATAATGTAGGACTTTTGTTGCCGTCAGTTATGGGGAGAGTAGGGGCTCAGAATACTGAAATCTGTATCTGTATCTGTATTAATGGGCGTGCCGTTGTGCAATTGCCAGGCAACGCAATAATTTACAAACTCTTCAACTACAACCCTAATTATATTTAAAAACATTTTAGAAGGCCTCACCAAATACTTTAATGTAAATTCAAATGTAAATGTGAAGGGATGTGTGTAATGTGGTGATTGACATTATTCACCCACGGATCTATGGGTTGGGGTATTGTTCCGCACGGACATTTTAGTTAACCGGACTTCCTGTTGATGTGAAATCCGAAAACATTTAAAAAAAAGAAATAATACTTTATTCCGAGTTTACTTGCTTTTCTCTTTGGAGGTCATCACATAACGGCATTGTAATACACGGTTCGGCTGCATTGAATATTACACATCTGCCATAGTTCTCTATTTATAGAGCCCTGATGAGAAGACTTCTAGACAAACAGGAACAACTGCCGCCGAAACTGAATACGTGACGTGGATCATAAATATATCAGCAATTAAACTAAATCTTCAATTTCTCTTCACACAATAAGTCTCCTTGCAGTATCAATACTAATTCGGCTGACTTTTATATTTGATCCAATTGGTATATTGGTATATTTACACCATAACGGTGCACAGCTGATAGAAAGGGACACCTGGTGGTTAAAGCACGTTATAATGTATTATTTGTATTATTAGATATTAATAGGAGACACAGACAGACAAACTAATAAGGCTTTATTTAAACATTAAAGAATACTTTAGGTTAAGGTCTTATTTTGAATAAGAAAAAAGCTTTGGGGGTATACATATTAAGCCTGACAAAGTACTAATATACTGCTTTCCTGCAATGTTAACTACAGTATGTTTAAGCACTTATTTTAACTGTTTTTTTTACATATGTATTATACTCTTATAAGATGTACAGTGGGGCAAAAAAGTATTTAGTCAGCCACCAATTGTGCAAGTTCTCCCACTTAAAAAGATGAGAGAGGCCTGTAATTTTAATCCTAGGTACACTTCAACTATGAGAGACAGAATGGGGGGAAAGAATCCAGGAAATCACATTGTAGGATTTTTAATGAATTAATTGGTAAATTCCTTGGTAAAATAAGTATTTGGTCACCTACAAACAAAAACAATTTCTGGCTCTCACAGACCCTGTCCACAACCTCAAACAGTCACACTCCAAACTCCATTATGGCCAAGACCAAAGAGCTGTCAAAGGACACCAGAAACTAAATTGTAGACCTGCACCAGGCTGGGAAGACTGAATCTGCAATAGGTAAGCAGCTTGGTGTGAAGAAATCAACTGTGGGAGCAATTATTAGAAAATGGAAGACAAACAAGACCACTGATAATCTCCCTCGATCTGGGGCTCCACGCAAGACCTCACCCCGTGGGGTCAACATGATCACAAGAACGGTGAGCAAAAATCCCAGAACCACACGGGGGGACCGAGTCAATGGCCTGCAGAGAGCTGGGACCAAAGTAACAAAGGCTACCATCAGTAACACACTACGCCGCCAGGGACTCAAATCCTGCAGTGCCAGACGTGTCCCCCTGCTTAAGCCAGTACATGTCCAGTCCCGTCTGAAGTTTGCTAGAGAGCATTTAGATTAGGGATGCACGATAATTATCGGCCCGATAATTATCGGTCCGATATTAGGAATTATGACGTCATCCCGATAAACCCGATACCAGTATTAATAGCCCCGATAATATACAATATATTTTTTTGGTAAAAAAAAAGAAAAAATACTGCGGTGTGGGTGGATTGGGATGAGAGGCGCTTGTTTTTCACTCGGCTCCTCCCGTTTTGCCAGTACTGTGGTATTAGTGGTTGAGGAAGAGGGGAGTTTTTCACAAATCCAGCGCTCCCTAACTCGTGAAGCCAGGACAGTAAACAAACATGTCGTTGGTGGTATGGGCGTTGGAGCTATGTGCAACTCAAGGCATATGCTCGAACCGGAGCTGCCTGGACGCTGCAATCATGTTGCGCACTATCCGTGCTGAGTGTACTGACTTTTCGTACAATGTCCCACTGTCTGGCTTCCTGCATAAAGTCAAGTGCTCGGCGCAGTTGTGGCGAAATGTCGCTCCTCTGTTTTCATTTAAACAGCTCCGTATATCCGTTAGCGCAGCTAGCTAGCACCAGATGCTAATAACAACAATGCACGTAAGGTCTCTCTCTCGCTCGCTTGGGCCACACATACACACACCCTCCCGGTCCTCCAGATGGCCAGTCGGTGCCTGCCGGTGAGCGTGGAAGTGTGGTCTGCCACAAGCGGGCGACAGGAGCGGGGCTGTCAGCATCAGCTTGTAGATGGTATTTTAAACTCGATGCGCTCTGAAACTACGGGGCGGCCGAGGACAAAAAATACACATGCGTTAAGGCGAGACACCCCAGGTGAATAGGGTAATTTTTTTTAACTTAAAGGTATCAGCTAGAAATTTCTCCAGTTAATTACTTACAATAAGGCAATTGTCTTTTGTATTACAAGTTTTCTGAAATAATATGTTTAAATATGCAAATTATCCATTATCTCATTAAATATGCACATATTTTAACACATTTCAGGAATCGAAATCTGAACTTTGGATATAGCCAGATTCAAAATTCTTGTTTCATTTTGTAGTCATATTAGTATCTAAGGCTTTTACAGAAGGGATATTGGATATCTCTTTTTATCATTCCATAAATCAGAAAATACTGTCAACAGCCCTAAAATATCCATTTTCACCATGTTTTTAGGTATACAATGTTGTATAATTCAGGCTATGAATTATATATGAACAAACCCTTCTGTAAAAGCCTTCATAATATTGATAGGAATATAACTGGAAGGTTTGGTGTCTCTACGTGCTACTGAAGTTGAAATTTCGAACTCAGAGTAGGAGAAAAAACTCATTTTGAGAAAACGACCTTTAAAGATTGCAGTGAGGCGCTAGCTAAACCCTCCTGTTCTTTGGATGACAGCTTGCGCATCGACGCACTCCGTGAAGGTATTTCATGTTCAGGGTCATTTTTTTTTATATAACCTTGCTTCGTGCAAGTGACAATTGTTGTCGTCTTCTCTGTGAACGTTTTTTTCGCCGTTCTTTTGGCATTTTGAGATTTCAATTTCTAGCTGAAAGCTAACCAGGAAGTGTTTTAGCACACCACGTGACGCATCTGAACGAATCACGTTGTCAGAAATTGACACCAGCCAATGAGATTTTGTTTCTTGGTTTAAGACCCCTTTGTGCTTTCACGATTGGTTGCTGATACAAAGGAAATGACCATATTTGGATCCGATGAGATTGTGCAGGAGAGACGGAGCTTTCCAGCGATACCTCTGTTGACATGGTGCACACAGCGGTCGCGGTACTTTATGTTACGTTAGAATGCTAACTTTTGGTGAATTTAGGAGAAATCTACAGACGCAAATAGACAAACTATAGTAAAATAAACACTTAAATGTGTATTTTGTACGTTTTCCTTCCAAAAGCCTGAAAGAAAACATGTTATGGAATCAAAAAAGCACAAAATCTCAAAATTGACCAGTACTTGAAAAACGATGTTTTTG